CTGTAATAGCGTCCGTATAGACCGCAGTCCTCCCACCCTTTACAAAGGTAACGGTGATCCCTTGGTCATGGAGGTATCCAACACCCACCAAGTTTCGAGTGAACGAGGGGATGTGGAGGCAGCGCAGGACACCAAAGGGGACCACAGGGCACGGGAGGGTGGTGGAGCTGCGCGCAGCGGCTTTTCCTGAGGACAGATCAGCTAGAGTTACCGGAACAGGAGCAAGGAGTGGCGTGAGGGTCGTGTGGTCACGAAAGAAGCACTGGGACGCGCCAGAGTCCAGTGTGAAGGACAAGGACGCCTTCGCCGGAGGTGCACCTGGTCCGGTGGCTACACAAGCACCTAGAGCACAAACACAAGCACCTAGACTAGAAAGGCACAAATCTACACTAGCAAGAGGCAAGCATCCTAGGCTAGGAACACGCGAGCACAAAGATCCATCAGCACTATAGTCAGCATCGGCATACAAAGCATAGTGACGTGCATCATCCATGGACAGATCAAACACAAGAACCTTACGGGCTAGCAGGCAAGCCCGGCATGGGGTCGTCGCGTGCGCATCCCAACGCGCACGGTAGAGGTTGTCCAAACGACGGAAGCACCGCGCCGCAGAGTGGTCGTCGCGGCCATAGACACAGGGACTGCCCGGTCTGGTGAGGCACCAGTGGTCGCAAGGGCCGGTGTCGCGGCGAGGGGGACGAAGGCCCTAACTGGCAGTGTTGCTGCTCCGGCCAGTGCTCCTTGGGCCTACAAGTTCCCACTATGGTGAGGGGCCCAAGTGGTGTTGTGGACCCTATTGCAGTGGAGGTCCCCACGACTGAAACTGTTGCAATGTCCGCTGCTGCTGCTGTCCCTGCTGCTGCTGCTGCTGTCTTTGCTGTGGCTGCTGCTGTTGCTGCTACTGCTATCCCTGCTGCTGCTGCTGCTGCTGCTATCTTTGCTATGGCTGCTGATGCTGCTGCTCCTGGGGTCTCGTACCACCGCCGGTCGAACCAACTCCAGCTGGCGGGCCCATCTGGCCGGCACCTCCTCCGGGGCTCCCTTTGCCTGGTGGACCTCCGCCGCCGCCACCACTGCCACCCCTATCTCCTCCTCCACCACCGCCTCCTCCGCCACCGCCGCCACCCCCCTTCCCCCCCTTCTTGCCACCCTTGCCCCGTTTCTTCCAGTGAGCGGCAGAAATAGCTGCAGTGTCCTCAGAGACCAACACATCAGCAGAGGCACGAGTTGCAGTGAAGGTGGAAGCTGGGGGGCAGCACACCCCTCAAACAGACAGGAAGCGACTTCGACAGTGGCTGAGGCAACAGAGAGGATGTTACTCTCGATCTTTCCGAGAATGGTCTCGAGAAGATCGATCGTAAGCGCGCTGGGGTGCTGCTGTAACGTCACGGGCAGTTGAGAGGCGGCCAGGGAGGCGGGTGACTATCCAGTGCACGGTGAGCCAGATAGGAGGGGGAGCAACAAGAAGCTCAGCCTCAGTGCAGGCGGCACAGTAGCTAGCTACGAGGGAGCGCAAGTGGGTGGCCAGGTCGGAGACATTCGCAAACGAGCCAAGGTCGGGAAACACAAACGGCATGAGGAGGTGGCTGAGGAAGGGCGTAGGCAGAGGGTGCGAGCTAGGGCGCGGGCTGGGGCTAGGGTCTAGTCTGGGCGAGGGCGCGGTATAGGGCGCGGGCGTGGGCTGTGGCGGAGGGCGCGGGCTAGGGCGCGGGCAGAGGCGCGGGCGACTGCTTAGGCGCGGGCAGAGGCGCGGGCGACTGCTTAGGCGCGGGCTAGGGCGCGGGTGCGGGCTGAGGGCGCGAGCTGAGGGCGCGGGCTAGGGCACGGGCTAGATCGACGGGCTAGGGCGCGGGCTGGGGCGACGGGCTAGGGCGCGGGCTGGGGCGACGGGGTAGGGTGCGGGCACTAGCGGAGGTGGAGGCTAGGTGCGGAGAGCGCGGGCGCAGGCTGAGGTGTGGAGGCGCGACGCGGAGGGTGCTAGGGCGCTGAGGGCGCGGAGGGCGTTAGGGCGCTTAGGTTGTGGAGGTCGCGAGGGCGCGGAGTGCACGGAGGGATCTAGGGCGCGGAGGGAGCTAGGGGGCGGAGGGTGCTAGGGCGCTAGGGCACGGAGGGCGCTAGGGTGCGGAGAGCGCTAGGGCGCGGAGGGCGCAAACACGGGCTAGGCTAGGCTAGGCGAGGTGAGGCGAGGCTAGGAAATGATACCATCTCAACAAACGAGCACAACAGAATGATGAAACTAGGAAAGCAAGGCAGTACAACTATGACAAACCTAGCAGAGTTGTACTCACTAAGGAGCACCTCACTATAGCCTACCACAACTAATAACATTTGACATATATTTTCATATATTGTTATTGACTGCCTGTAGAAATATTTACTGCCGTCATGATATGAAACTGTTTGGTGGTGTGCCACAGTTTCTTGCTTGTTGCCTCTATTTGTACTCCAAACCCTATATTGAAACCCCTCTTTTGCTGGCCAACCCTCTCGTCACCTCTCTCCTCTTGCCTAAACCTAGCTCAATAGTCCTGATATTAATATCCTATTTTAACAACAAAAGCTTGATATGGCATGCAAAAGCTAAAGAAACATTCCCTCCCAAGCCAATGAAGTTGGTCGTGAATGTCAGATGACCTGCACTGGGGATGCCCGATTGATCCTAGGGAAGGGTTACCGGCTCGCTGGCCTGGGGGGTTATGGGCGCACCGACACACTACTTAACAAGCCCTTTTATCCCAGTGGTATAGTGGCTGATATTCTCACAACGTGTAGGAAGCGACCCTTAGAAATAAATTCAAATATTCTAACGTATTGGAAATGTAAAATACCATAAATTATTCTATAGAACCTCAGTTAGAGGTTCCCTGGTAGAGCTTTGGCAAAGGTTGCCTGGGAGGCACCACGTCCTAAGGACACGGTATAAGTGTCGAATGATCGCAAATATCAATTCGCCACCGCACTATAAGCATGCCTAATGTCTGTGCACCCTACCAAACCATTCTGAACCTAGGAAGAAGTCAATACTGAGTGCGATCGATTAACTCTTCGAACGGGCATTTTGAACAGCCACCGTACTAAAACGATTTGTCGGTCTTTGTTATCGTCCTGTACCTAACTTCCACCCGAAGTGACCCGCCCTCTCGAGTTTGGAGTGTGATGCCTAGCTTTGTGCAAGCCTTGCTGCTGCGCTCCTACATTGGGAAAGGAATGGTGGAGGAGAGGGGATGGAAAATATTAGCATTGTATCCGGAGGTCGCCAAGGTGTTGGTGATATTTGCTTGCTTTCACCTCCAGCCGTAATATTTCAGCACAGCATCATATATCATCATAGTTTTCAGTCCAACCAAGGTTGGGATTCAATGGCGTCGGCAACTGCCAAGCTCCTGGAGGAGATTATGAGCGTAGCGAAAAGGTTGCCTGTCAAATGTGAAGATGTGAAGAAAGAGCTAGAAGCGGAACGCCTGCAGAATAACGGAGCATCTGACATTGCAAAGCTGGGTCTTGCTTAGAAAGTGGAGCGTCTGGAAGAAGGTTTAAAAGGATTGAGGGAAAAGCAAAAGAGCAGCATACGCGAGCTCAAGGATGCGCTAGCACGTGAACGGGCCCGTAAGGGAGAAGAAGGAAAATGAGGCGTTTGTACTGAATCTGCGATTGGCGCTAACAGAGACTTCGCTCGCCCAGCAAAAGGAAGAAATAAAGTCGATTTGGGAGGTGAGAGTGGTCATTGGAATGTGCGAAACATTTCCTTGTGTGGTCTTTCAGGCACTGTTTTTTTCGCTGCTTTCGTCAATAGCTATCCACAACCTTGTGATGTCCAAATTCTGTGGTCTTTCAGGCAGTATTTGAGGTTTCAGAAGAGACTTCGCGTCAGCCACCAAGCAGGCCGGATTGGAGCATCGTACAGCGTTCCCAGGCGGAAACGACCAAATTGGAGTTGAGCTTCGGGTGTTCCGCTTTCAGCTTCCGTCGCATTTCTTGCATGAAGTCCTTTAATAGCCTCACCATTAAGGCTAGTGTGAACGCAGATGTCTTCAAGCACCTCTCCAGCATGACATGGCTGCTGAAACTACAAACGACAAGTGTCAATAACACGGTGGTCCAGGATCTAGAACAACCGACAGTGCTTACTCGACTTGAACTGATTAAAACCAAGGTCACTGATGCGGGACTTGCTCACCTGACAGGTCTTGGCTCTCTGCAGATCCTCGTCCTCTCTGGTCCCGACGTCCCCCCCTGGTCCCTACCATGGTTCCAAAAGTTTTCCAGCTATTTTTGACCCTCACCAGAATTGTCTCATCATACATCCCCAGGACTCCTGCTACTATAACTCCAGGAGCTATTTATCATATGTCAAGGGCTTTACATCAGCTGGTATGGTGCACATGGAAAGGCTCAAAAGTCTCCAATGCCTGGATATAAGCGACTCCCAGGTGAACGATGATGGGCTGCAGTATTTCGCCAGCATGTGAATGCTGAATTGGCTCAGCCTCCCTCCGCACATCTCTCTCCGGGGTCTGCAACATCCAAAAGGCTGGAAGTGTCTCAAAACTCTCATTTTAAGGTTGCGCATCGAAAGGGATGAGGTGAAATTTCTCAGGGTTGTTCCAAGCCTTGTGAAAATTGGTGTGAATCACCCACCTAGTGTGGACAATGTGAAGAAGGCGATGTCTGACTTGGAGGTTGTCCACTTTACTACGTGAAGTAGTGAAGGCAACTATTTAAATTATAGTGTGTGACAAACTATTGGGCAACATTACTTAGAAAAATATTGCGGTTACTATTCGAAGTTTTAAGCTAGTTTCACCTTTTCCGTTGATCTTTTCACCTTTTCCTTTCACTCATTTTAGAAATGTTGCAATCAAGCAAGTTTGAAGCCTGTCAGATTGAAGCCTACCAGCAGCATCTCTCAAAATTATATTGCCTACCGGAGGGTGCTAAAATCAAACCCCTAGCAGTGTTTGAGCAAACAGGGAAACCATTTTGACGCCTCACTACACAGCCTACAGCCACACTCCACAATTCCAGCCATTACTAGCAGTAATGTCAAGTGCATGAAGGGAAGCCACACAGATGTGCTTGGCCATAGGAAGCTTCTGCTCACGAGGCGAACTGATGTACCACTTGGAGGAATACAGCAAGTTTATCACAGTCACAGCCCAACACTGCAAAATGCTTGCAAAGGAAAAAAAACAAGGCAAAATAGAACCGAGTACTGCCAACTTATAAAAAACTGCAGGCACGCCGGGAGGGATAGCACGCAGATGACATGATACATGTTCACATTGCGTCAGGAATAAAATATTCAAGGGGGGGGCAAGTGTGACTACCAAAGCATGCAAGCATTTGCATTGCATCGTGGAGTGGAATAAATCTAGATGAGAGTTCCCATAAAAATGGATACTTCTGAAAGCAACGATGGACATGAAACGGGTACTGCCAAAAAGTGCCAAAATAGTTACTTACTTCCCACAGTGCCTGAATTCCATGGTCAATCCTTGTTGTAACTCTCAGAAAGCTCTCCAGTCGAGCGTTCAATCCAATCACCCTCTCCTTATCATCCATTGCACTGGCTGCACAGGTGCTTGCCTCCGTCCTCCTCTCATCCTGGCGTTGCTGCAACTCACTCAACCTCCATGCAACCTCTGCCTTCTCTCTATCCACCTCCACCTTCAACTCCCTCATCCTCCCTGCCTCCTCCACCCTTTCCTCTTCCACCCTTCCCTCTTCCACCTCACGCCTCCCCTCTTCCACCTGATGCCTCAAATTTCCCATCTGATGCTTCAGGTCATCCACCTCATGCTTCCACTCATCCAACCTTCCAAGCACCACCACCTCCCTCTGCTCCACAACTGCCCTCATCTCACCCCTCAGCTCTTCCACACATTTCCTTACATCACTAAAGCAACATTTCAGACCCTCGACCTCCCTTCTCAGGGTACTGATGTCTTTCTCCCTCTCCTCTTCCACTCTCGCCCTTCCTGCCACCTCATTTATCAACCTCTCCACGTCACTCTCCATCCTCTCCACCTCATTCCCAACACCAGCCACGTCAGCCTCGATATCATCCGAACCTCCTCCCATATCGGTCCTCCCTTCCCCATTACCCCTCAGAGCCCCATCTTCTTCCTCAACTGACCGCGCCACCCCACTAGACATCCGTGCCTCATCATCCCCTGCACCAACGCCATTTGTGCTTCCCATTCTTTCAGAAACCTCCTCATGCTCCCCTCTGCTCTCTCTCAAAACCCTTTCTAGAATATGAATCCACGTCTCCGATTCCTGCTTATCCGAAGGCTCACACTCCTCAACTGCTGCTGCTTCCTCCTCTTCCACCTCCCCCACCTCCCCCAATTCCACCATCACCCTCTCTCTCAAACACCTGACCTTTCTTAGATACAGCCTGCATTCCTCCAACATCTCTTCAAGCAAACGGCTCATAGACTTAGATAACCCTTTGTGGCGGATTCCCCTCTTCCTCCTGTGCCTCTGCCTGCACCCGCCTCTCCCCCATGCTGGAATCATCCACCCCATCCAGCCCACTGTAAGACTCTCCCCCCTGGTTTAGCTCACACTGCGATACCTGACTACAAGCCTCCACCAGCGGCTTTACCGCCTGCAGCAGCAGCATCATGCCATTCATCTTGGAGTTCATCTCAGCCGTCATATTTTCAATCTGACGGGACAATCCACGGAGCTCTGCGTTCAATGGTGTTGAGTCTCCCATGATAGGTTTAGTAGCAAACACATGCCTGCCAGGGAGGGGTTATTCATATATCAGGCTCCAAGAAGCTGAAACGAAGACAACAACAATTTGTGATGGCTATGGACCCTGGAAATCTGGCAGGTACTCTACACCTTGGCAGTAATGATTAATATGTGGCAAGAAATATTGTTAAAGTTGCCAATAACTAGTTGCTCATAATTATCCACAAATGACGCAAGGGAGATGCGACTAAGTACCTGGTAGCTTGGCGAAAGGAGGTTCCTCGAGTGACCTGCAACATGGCATGGGCTGGTTTTACCATGACATTTCCAGAAAGGTGCAACAAGATTTTTTTTGGGGAAATACTATATTTCGTTTTAACATGAAATCAAGGGCGTCAATCGTCAGCTTGAGAAAGGTTGTCCTGGTTGCCAGTAGATGCTGATTCAGGCAGGATATTATGTATGCTTGGAACACGCACAATTAACAATCAGAGGATAAGAACCAACCAAGGTGCCCTGTGCTAGATACAAGTGATGTGGAAAAGACGGTTTGTCAGGGGGAAAGGGACGAGAGGGGAGCGGCGCGAAAGAGGGAAAAGAGGGACCAGAATGAAAGGGTCAATGCAGCCTTACCCATCGGAAAAAATGGGGTCTTCAGAACTTACGGGAAACCAGCGGTGAAGCTGCTTTGACGTACCCTATCTGGCACATGCCTCAAAGAGGGTGGATGAGTTGCTTTCCCGTAGGTTTTGGTTTGACGCTGTACTGACGAGAGTCGCTGCGACAAATCGCGGCCGCACATCTCGAAGGCAACCAAAGCAACTTTGTCGTAGCTAATTGACTCTACTACCACGTGTCTCGCGTGCACTTGCTCATCATGTCAATTCAAACTCGAAGGTGATTGGCAAATATCGTTTGGTCCATCTAGGCTGCACATCTCAAAATTGTGAAAGCAACTCTCCTGCAAGTATGAATATGTTGAATCGATTCGTTTCTTACGTGGCCTTCGCGTATTGGATGTCGTATATTGCTGATAGAAATAGAATTGATTCGGCCAGTAAACCCATTTAAAAAGGTTGGAGATACAGATTGTAACTGAAGCTCTGTAACCTAGTAACTTGATCAAACAGGGTTGGTTACAAGTGCCCATTGTATATTTGATCGTGCATATAACTATTTTACATAACATTGCAATAACAGGGTAACCTGTTACGAATTTTCGCTCAGCATAATTTCAATTTTTGTTTCAATTATGCTTTACTAGCGATTCTCCGTTTGAACATTGTAACTCTTGTCGGAGTTACAGGAGCACCCACTCCAGCAGCACCTCCAGCAGCACCACCAGAAGCTCCAGAACCTCCAGCCGCAGCACCAGGAGCACTGTCAGTCGTGCCGCCAACGGCAGGCTCAGCGCCAACACCCTCAGCAGGACCAGCTCTAGGAGAAATCTCAGACTCAGCAGCTCCAGCACCCACAGTACGAGCGCCGGCGGGGCGCGCAGCAGCAGTACCCTTTGCACCAGCAGCACGCCTCCAGCGCCCGGCAAACCACTCACGCAGCTCCTGTGGGGAGAGTGGCTCCCGGCGAGACGAAGCACCCCCAGGCACAGCACCTCCAGGCTCAACACCCCTAGACACAGCACCCCCAGGCTCAGCACCCCCAGGCTCAGCACCCCCAGGCACAGCACCCCCAGGCACAGCACCCCCAGACTCGGCACCTCCAGGCTCAGCACCCCCAGGCACAGCACCCCCAGGCTCAGCACCCCCAGGCTCAGCACCCCCAGACTCGGCACCTCCAGGCTCAGCACCCCCAGACTCCGCACCCCCAGGCTCAGCTCCCGCAGCAGCACCAGAGTCACCAGTGACCTCGACAGGCTCGACCGCGTCTACCTGGGACACACCTGAAGGGGCAGGACCCTGAGGGGGGAGGGGGACTACCGGGGGGGGACCTGGTACCAAGAAGAGCGGGGGTGGGGGGAGGGACGGAGTGCGGTAGGGGAAGAGGCGGTAGTAGGGTACCGACTCGTCGAACGTGACGTCCTGGGAGGACAGAACACGTCGAGAGGTGGGGTGGTAAAACTGCCACCCAGGGGCGTCGGGGGGGAACCCCAGGAAGACGTAGGGAGAAGCACGAGGGGACAGCTTGTCCGCAGACAGGTCGCGAACAAACGCCCGAGATCCCCAGACCCGGAACGCCGACGCATCGCCAACCTTCCCAGTCCACAGCAGGGCTGGGGAGGTCTCCGGTCGAGAGACCCTGGGGTGGAGGTTGATCTGGTGCGCAGCGTACCTGACCGCAAACGGCCACAGAAAATGGGGAGCAGCCGCATGCATCATGGACGTACGAGCGACGTCCATGACCATGCCAATGCGGCGCTCAGCAATCCCATTCTGCTGCGGTGAGTCCGGAAGCGTGAAGGTCTGACGGATGCCTCGCGCACGACAGTAGGCACTCAGGAGGCCAGAGGAGAACTCTCCGCCTCTGTCCGAGTGCAGACGCAAAACAGGGAAGTCAAAGCCAAAGCTCCTCCGAAGCTGGAGACGAGCTGCGCGGATCCAGTCGATCAACACCGCAGTGACCTCACCCTTGCTGCGCAAGGGGAAGACTGTGGTGTAACGCGAGTAGTCGTCAACCACCAGCAGGAAGTAGCGCTCCTGACCCTGTCCACGGACGCGGGCTGGGCCCCACACATCCATGTGAAGCGTCTGCAACGGGGCCTCTGTCGGAGGAAACTGGGAGGAGTGAGGGGCAGCACGCTGGCGCCCCTCGACACAGGGGACACAGGTGGGGCCAGGGCCCGGAGGGAGGGGAGGGAGAGACCGGGGAAGACCAGACACAAGGACTCGCGAGGCCATGCCTCTGAGCCGAAGCAAAGAGGGGTGGCCAAGGCGGTGGTGCCAGAGGAGGGTCTCGTGAGACAGACGACGGCACGAGCAGGGGGCAGACTCAGGACCAGACCTGGACGCTGCAGCAAACACCTGACCAGACGAAGTGACCCTACCAGACTCAGCACCTGGAGGAGAAGCAGTGGTCAGAGTGTACAGGCTCGACCCTGGCCGACGTGTAAACGTAGCCAGGTGGCGACCTGTATCCGCCTCCGTGCAGTGGGTCACCCGCTGACGAGCAGGGGTGAACTGGTGGACACCCGCATCCTGGAGGTCAGCACCACTCACCAAGTTCGTCGAGAACGAGGGGAGGTAAAGACCAGTCAGGGTGCCAGAGGGGGCCGCCGGACACAGGAGGACAATGGAGAAGCGAGACAGGACAGGCCCCCCAGAGGGGTCAGCCAGGGACACCGCAACCGGCCGACTCAGCGGCGTGAGAGTGGTGCGGTCCCGAAAGAAGGAGCGAGACGCTCCAGAGTCAAGGGTGAAGGTGTGAGAGGCCGAAGCCGACACAGTACCTGAGAGGGCAGACTCACCAGCACCTGAGAGCACAGACGCACTGGCACCTAGAGCAGCAGCCTCACTAGTACCTGACGCGGCAGTACCAATGCCCGGGTCGGGCGGGAAACACCGGTAACAGCCATCCTCATCACTACCAATCGCAGCATACATAGCAGAGAGAATAGCATCAAAATCAAGATCATAAATAGCTACACCAGCCCTAGACAGCTCTCCCCAGCGGGGGATCTCAGCTGCCTCCGGAAACTGCTGACGCCAGGCGTCAGTCAGGCGGCCAAAGCAGCGGCGGGCAGTGTGGGCGCCTCCACACCTCTCCCCTGCACGGTCACTGGTGCGGAGAACGTAGGGGCAAGGACTAAGCGCACCACCACGCTGACGCTGCGAGTACCACTCACGGAGCTGCTGAGGGGCGGGGACGGTGCGAGAGCGCTGCTGCTGCTGTGGCTGCTGCTGCGGCTGCTGCTGCTGCTGCTGCTGGCGCTGACCACCCCCGGAGCTGCTCCGCAGAGACGAGCCACTCCGACCCCCGCCTCCACTGCCACCCCCGCCTCCACCGCCACCCCCGTCTCCACCTCCACCTCCCCCACCAGGACCGTCGCTCCCACCGCTCCAACCGCCTCCTCCGCTACCACCTCCGCCGCCACCTCCGCCTCCACCGCCGCCACCAGTACCTCCACTCCCGCCACCACCCCCACCGCCACCCCCACTCCCCCCGCCACCCCCACCGCCTCCTCCACCGCCCCCTCTAGCTCCACCCGCTCCCTTGCCCCCCTTGCCCTTGCCAGCGCGACGTCTGCCGCTGGGGGCAGACGCCGCGCCGACCGACTCAAAACCAGTGAGGTCGGCCGCAGCGGCAGAGGCGACAGAGGGCAGCAGGGGGGAAGGACCACACCCCTCAAAGATGGGGGTGCGAGGGTCACCCCGAGAGGCCCCTACAGCGACAATACTCTTCTCAGCCGCTAGCAGGGACTCCTCAAGGAGGTCGACAGTGAGAGTGGTGGGACAGACAGAGAGAAACTGGTCCCTAATGACACGAAGGGACTCAGGGAGACGGGTGACGAGAAAGTAGAGAGTGATGTACATGGGAGGAGG